GTTCTCTGAATTGGGCATGAACAGAAAATTCTCCCATGAAGACATGTAAATGGCCAACAGATACATGAAAAAATGCTCAACTTCACTAGCTATTAGAGAAACGCAAATTAAAACCACAATGAGATATTATCTCACACCTGTTAGAATGGCTATCATCAACAAGACAAATAATAACAAATGTTGGAGAGGCTGTGGAGAAAATGGAACCCTCATACACTGTTGGAGTGAATGCAGATTGGTGCAGCCGACATGGAAGGCAGTGTGGAGGCTCCTTAAAAAATTAAGAATAGAATTATCATATGACCCAGCAATCCCACTCCTAGGTGTTTACCCAAAAAATCTGAAAACATTTATCCATAAAGATATATGTACTCCAATGTTCATTGCAGCATTATTTACGGTAGCCAAGACATAGAAACAACCAGTGTCCTTCAATAGATGACTGGATAAAGAAGATGTGGTATATATACACAATAGAATACTACTATGCCATAAGATGAAATAGTGCCATTTGCAACAACATGGATGGATCTTGAGATTATTATACTAAGCGAAATAAGTCAGACAGGAAAATTCGAGAACCATGTCACTTCACTGATATGTGGGATATAAAACTGAAAGCAATGAAGGAACAAGACAAACAAAAAACCAAAATCTGATGGACAGACACAAACAACAGTTTAATGATTAGGTTACCAGAAAGTAAGGGTGGAGCAAGGATGGTAGAAGAGGGTAAAAGGAGTCAAATATATGGTGATGGAAAGAGAACCGACTCTGGGTGGTGAACACACACTGTGATATATAGATGATGTATTATAGAATTGTACACTTGAAACCTATGTAATTCTACTAACCATTGTCACCCCAATAAATTAAAAATTGTCACCCCAATTTAATTAAAAAACAGTTTCCTGTATTTACCAGTTTGTTTCTGTTTTATTTGTTTTGTTCTTTAGATTCCACATATAAGTGAAATCACATTGCAACTGTCTTCTTCTGTCTGACATACTTCACTCAGCACAATACCTTCCAGGTCCATCCATGCCACCACAGATGGCAAGAACCCATTCCCACCCATGGCCGAGCAATATTCCATTGTATATATGTACCACCTCCTCTTTATCCATTCATCCATCAATGGACACCCAGGCTACTTCCACATCTTGGCCATTGTAGACAATGCTGCCATGAGCATATGAATACACACATCATCTAGAACTAGTGTTTTGGGTTCCTTTGAATAAATACCCAGAAGTGGGATTACTTGGTCTTTTGTGTCACTTGCTATAGCCTCTGTTTTAATTCTATTTTTTCTGGTATAATTATTGCTACCCCAGCTTTTGTTTTGTTTCTTCTAGTTTCATGAAATACCTTTTTTATCCCTTTAGTTTTAATCTCTGTGTGTCTTTTGATCTGAAGTGAGTCTCTTGTAGGAAGCATATGTAAAGGTCTTGTTTTCTTATCCATTCAGACACTCTGTCTTTTAATTGGAGCATTTAATCCATTTATATTTAAAGTAATTGCTGATTGATGTACAGTTATTGCCATTTTATTATTCATATTTTTTGTTTATTTTATTTATTTATTTTTTTGTCTTAAAGCAGTCTCTCTAAGATTCCTTGTAATACTGGTTTGGTGGTGATGAACTCCTTCAGCTTTCTCCTGCTTGGGAAGCTCTTTATCTGTTCTTTGATTCTAAATGATAGCTTTGCTGGGTAGAGTAATATTGGTTGTAGGTCCTTCCTTTTCATCACTTTGAATATTTTGCTCCAGTCCCTTCCGACCTGCAAAGTTTCTGTTGATAAATCAGCTGACAGTCTTGTGTGAGCTCCCTTGTAGGTAATGAACTGCTTTTCTCTTGCTGCTTTTAAGATTTTTTTCTTTGTATTTAACCTTTGGCATTTTTATTATGATGTGTGTTTGTGTGGGCCTCTTTGCATTCATTTTGGTTGGGACTCTCTGTGCTTCCTGGTCTTGTGTGTCTATTTCCTTTATCAGGTTAGGGAAGTTTTTCATCATTATTCCTTCAAATAAGGTTTCAATTCCTTGCTCTCTCTCTTCTCCTTCCAGTACCCTTATGATGCGAACGTTGGTACTCTTGATGTTGTCCCAGAGGACCCTTAAACTCTCCTCTTTTTTTTTAGATTCTTTTTTCTTTTTGCTGTCTGATTGGGTGTTTTCTGCTACCTTATATTCTACATCGCTAATTTGATCCTCTGCTTAAACTACTCTACTGTTGATTCCTTCTAATGTATTCTTTATTTCAGGTATTTTATTCTTTATTTCTGACTGGTTCTTTTTAATGTTTTCTATCTCCTTTTTTATGTTTCCTATCTTTTTGTTAAAATTCTCCCTGAGATCATTGAGCATCCTTATAACCAGTGTTTTGAATTCTGTGTCTGGTAGATTGCTTGTCTCCATTTTGTTTAGTTCTTCTGGAGCTTTGTTCTGCTCTTTCATGTGGGACATGTTTCTTTGTCTCCTCATTTTGGCTGTCTCCCTGTGTTTGATTCTATGTATTAGGTAGGGCTGCTATGTCTCCCAGTCTTAGTAGAGTTGCCTTATATAGTAGGTGTCTTGCGGAGCCCAATGATGCGGTCACCCTGGTTACCAGAGTCAACTGCTCCAGGTTTGTTCCTCAGGTGGGTTGGTGTACCCTCCTGTTTTATTTAAGCCTTTGTTGCATGTCAGTGGCAGGGATTGACCCTCCGCTGATTGGTTGTGAGGACTGATCATGATTATAGTGACTGACTTTATGAGGCAGGATTCACTTTAGCAGGGCTTTGATGCCTGCTGAGTCTGCCCTTTGGGTGTGTCACCCTGGGAGGCAGCCTTATTGTGCTATGGTTTGGTCAGAGGCTGGTGACCAGTTGTGCCAGCCCTGGGACCTCCTGGGAGGGACCCCACCACAGTCCAAGTTCATCCACAGCCTGTACCCTACCTGGGGCCACCTGTCTGAGTCACAAAGCAGTTCTCAGATGGTTGCCACCCAGGCTGGCCTTGGCGGTATCTCAAGAGGCCAAGCCATGAACCAAGGCTGGCAGATGCTAGTGCGCGGCTTAGGGCTGCTCATCTGGAGGTACAGGACACACCAAAGCCAGATGCTGCTTGTTTGGATTTTGTGACCCTTTGAGATTTTTTAGGAAAGTCCACAGCATGATCCCAGACAGGCTATTTGTATGGAAAAGCCACCCAAAATGGCTTTGGTGGGCCAGAAAGTTGAGTGGGCAGGATGCAGGGAACCTCCAGGTTGGGAGAGGTGAACAGTATTAGCCATGTTGATGGAGACTCAGATATGTCAGCCTACTGTGTCTGCATTACGGGAGATGGCCGGGCTCAACAAACAAAAAATGGCCTCTGCCAGCTCCTTTGTTAGGAAGAAAGCTGCCTCCTCAGCCTTTGCCTTGCAGCCAGACAATTCAGTTCCTCCTCGTATGTCCCTGGTGCCTTTTGAGCTGCTGCCCCAGCACTGGGGCTCAGAGCAAATGGGTCCATCAGTGAGTAAGTCTATACACAGTCCTTTTAAGAGGAGCCTCTGGGACTCCAGCCACCGTCCATCTCACCCAACCACAGTCTCTCTGGTTTTCACAGCCAGAAGTTATGTCTCTTCCTGGCACTGGAACCCCAGTTTGGGAAGCCTGGTGTGGGGCTGGGATCCCTTGCTCCTCCCAAGTGGCCTCCACAGCTGAGTCATCCCTCCCAGATTTTAATAGCCACACACAGGTGTGGGACCAGCCGATTCATATCTCTACCCCTCATACCAATCTCAAGGTGGCTTCTGAAACTGAATTAAGTTTTAAGCTCTTTGTTTATAAGATTTTTTTTTTTTTTTTTAGAATCCCAAACCTTAGAACATCCATGCCTGAGAAGGACTTGAGCCATCTCCTTTGTGTTGGAAATGTCCTTCCCAGTATGAAATCCTTCTCTTGACAGGCAGCAAGGTAGAGATCTGCTTTGTACTGGGCACAAATGGAAGGACAATGATGGCACTTTAGACCTGGAAGGCAGAAAATTACTAAGTGGATGAATCAACATTTAATGAGCTCCTCCTATGTGTAGAGAATGATTCAAGCCCAGTGGGGAATACAGAATACTAGTTCACATTCTCTTCTTGTCAAACGCTTATTGTCTGATTGGGAAGTTAGCATAAAAAGAGGAATTCTTGTGGGTCACTGTATTAGTCTGTCAGGTAATAGCCTCAGATGTGGGTTAATATTCTAATTCCTTGAACAGATATGTCATCTATCCAATCTGCAACACCACTCAACTTCTTGTGGTCCTCGGGGTTTTCTCCTAGATTCATGGATGCTTTCTAGATGAGTCATAAAAACAGGTAGCCCACCTGAGTGTCTCTTTTACTCTCTTGGTTGGAAAAATATCTATAGTCATTAGGACTGAGTCTGACTTTCCAGTGTCTGACCTAAATCCAAAGTAGCGAGGGAACAACACAGAAACCAGCAGTGACAGAACAATTTGATTGCCAAGTTAACAGAGATATGTACAAAGGTGAAGGAGTCAGCTGCCTGGGAATGAGAAAGGTAAGTGGAACATTTTATCTTTGTCTTAGATCACATATAAGGAGTTTTCCAGGTGGAAGAGGAACCTAGAAAGAGGACTGTGTGCTCAGGAATCTTGTAATTATTTAGCCTGTCAGAGCATTGTTTCTTTGGGGATAAACAACAAGTGCTTAATTTAGGAATTCATAAACATTGAATGGCAGGTTTTCTTCCCAGTGGACTGAGGTCCCTGAAGCAAAAAAGAGAAGAATGGTTCTTATCTAGAGAAACATTGCAAAATCAAATGAACTAAAGACCCTTTCATATTTATGCATTTGGATACTTGTTTTTCACATTAAGTTTGTTTATCAAGTTCTAACTTAAAATTACTTCAAGGCCAAAATATTTCTTTGGTTGTGCATATGTTATTGAATTGGGACAGCGTGACTAGCATAATCTTGGTTTGACCATATCTTTATTTGATTTTTCTCTCTTTCCTCCAGGATTATACTGAGTGTGAGCAGCCAGACCAAAACCTCTGTGATGGCCAAGAACAAGGACTGGGTGAGCCAAGAGTGAAGGGGCAAAAGATGTTTTCGTGTGGTCAAGCCAACAGCATATTTGGCCTCCTTGCCATGAATGATTGATGAATTCTGTAGAATAGAGGAACTTGGGTAAATGAGTGCTTCTGTAATCAACTGACCATGCTAGAATTTGTGTGGTCACTAGCCACACAAATTTTGGCTAGACTGAGCAACCCAGGGAACAGAGGAATCTGGAACTTAGTGCTGTCTTGGCTTTCATTGTGTAGTATGTGTGTTGTTGTTTAAATTTGTTTTTAAATATCTTTTTCATTCCTGAGATTTCCCTTCACTTTTCTATTAAAATTGGAATCCTCCACATAAGTTTATAGGTCACTGGATCTTGCTGAGGGGAAAAGAATGGCTATCACAGCTTCCATAAAAAACAGAATATTGAATGGTAAATAATAAAAGGTGCTATGATTGGTTTAGGTTCAAAGACCATCTGACACTTACTTGCTAGGTGATATTGACGTCTTTTAACCTCTGTGCGACTTAGTTATGTGTATTTCATGCATAAAACGATGATAACAATGGCACCAATATCATACAGTTATTGTGAGGATTAAATCAGATAATATATTAAAAACATACATAGTGTGCTTGGCACATAGTAAGACCTCAGTAAATGTTACCAATTATTGCATTCTTGAGAATCTGTATTATGGATTGTTGTTTGTCTTAATTGGGCCATGAGTGACTTCAACGAATAAGAGCTTATTAATAAGCCATTTGTTTATACCAGCTATCAATACTCAACTAATTAAACTGAGGTGATAGTTGATGGTGTATAGATATGCTTACAGAGTGAATTGAGATGGCATGTGGCTATGATACAATTAAAGGCGTATATTCCTTCTGATAAACTTCTATGAATAGGTGAGACTATAATAAAGCCAGAAAAAAATTGAATCAGTGTTTATGTAATGAGAAAGTTAGATAACTTTGGGGAAATGCAATTTGTTTCATGCCAGACTTTTGTCCAGGGTCAGGCTAGTTCTAGAGTCACTTCCAGCTTTAATGATTTTAACCTATATTCCATTGGACAGGCAGGCATTTTGAGCTCAAAGATATTTTGGCTCAGATGATGATAATAATTTATAGGCCTTAAAAATCTTCTTTGAGCTGTCCCAGAAAAATATACTTCCAGTAGTGCTAGTAATATGTCAGCAGTCTATAAGAAATACAATAGGCCTGTTCGTTAAATCCCTTAATTAAAAATGGATTAGGGATGTCTGTACTAAAAATGATTGCAATGTTCCATATTTTGTGCATTGGTAATCAGTCCACTTTAAAACTTCAGACTAAATTTTAAAATGCTGCATATTTTATCTGCTATTCATTAACATTTGCAAATGGTTACTAAATAAAAATAAATAAATGAATTTAAAAAACAAAGGTTTCATATGCCACAAGTGTGTTCCGAAAAAGCTGGCCAAGTCTCCCAAAAATTCAGACTACTAATAGAAAGTATTAAAAATAATAAACTTTTATAGAATTCTTCCTTTATTATACTTCCATGACTTTTACTGAAATGCTTGCCACATGTAACTTAGAATCTCTGGGTCTTAGTCAGTATACTGGTTTTTCTCGTGTATTAGGAAGCTACCCCAACACCCAGGTGAGGAATATAATTCCTGTTCACTTGAATACCCCAGGATTAATTTTATGTAGCTGTGGATTTCTAGCTCCAGTCTAGATTATAGGGAAGCATCTGGAATGCAAACGTAAAGCAGTTTCTGTGAGAAAATAGAGCCCTCTTCTGAGGGTGAGAGTAGGCTGGTCCCTTGTAGGACCTCCCAGACTTGGAATGTACACCACAGGCCCTTCCAGAGTGGCTTCAAGACTTCTCTTCCAGGCTCAGCTATTGTTGTGTCTATTCACATTTTAACTGTTGCCATCTTATGGGTGTGGGGTGCATATGGTAGTTTGGAGAAGAGAGAAACTAAGAAACCATTCATACCATCAAAGTTAATCCTCCATAAACATTCTTGAAAGGAAAGCTGTGGGACCAAGTTTTACCAAATGAAATTTGTAATGGAGAAAGTGGACTGCTGATCCAATTATGTGTACTCTTTGGTAGACAGAACAGAACAATGACTTTATTAAAAATACTGAACTATTTGCATACTTAAAACTTGTGTCCAGCCTTAGGTGCAATAAACTCATCTACAGAAGAGATGGAAGCTGGAAGTATGTGATTCAGTGAATGGAGAAACTGACTCAGGAATGTTGTTTACTCAAAGAACTAGCAGTAATGTTATCTAATTTTCTTTAGTGAATCTATATGCACTGGAAGGGAAACAGTGTCTCTGCTGTCATATAGCATTGCAATGCTTCTTTCCATGTATAATTGTATATTATCAGTTTGTATATACACTACCAAAACAAGGTGACAAGGGTGATCCGGCACTGAAAAACCAAGGAAAGAGAAAAAAAATTCTAACAATTGTCTGCCTACTTTGTGTTAGCCACTATGCTAAGTTCTTTTATCTTCATTTTAGTATACCCTCAGTGTAAAAGCCTATTATGTTTCTCACAAATAGATAATATATTAGCACTATTGGATCTATTTTATTAGTTCAGAAAATATTTGAATGGGCTAAAAATTATTATCATCTGCAGTAGAGGCTACTACTAATCAAATTTTACAAATGAAGGCACTGAGACTAAGAAAGATTGAGTAAATTGCTGGAGATTTCATAGCTAGTGTTTGATTCTGAGAGACTGAATATACCAATAGACAATGATGAGACCATGTATAAAAATTGAACTCTGATCCACAACATGCAGCAACCAGCCCAGAAAGCCAAACCATTGTCTGTAGTAATGCAGACTCACAAATATTTCCTCTCATATTTTCTTCTAAAAGTTTTAGCTTTTATATTTATATATACACGTATGACGCATTTTGAGTTAATGTTGTGTATGGTGTTAGGAAGGGTTCCAATATTTTTCTGCTTGTGGATATCCGTTTGTCCCAGCAGCATTTGTTGAAGACTGTTTTTCCTCATTGAATTGTCTTGGTATATCCTTGTTGAAAATCAATTGACCATAAATGTGAATTTTTTGTTTCTGAACTCTCAATCTATTCCATTGACCTGTATGTCTAACCTTGTTCTGGTACCACACTTACTTAATTACTATAAACTTTGTAGTAAGTTTGGAAATTGGGAAATGGATGCCTTCCAAATTCTTCTTCTCACTCAAGATTTTTATTTATTTATTTATTTATTTAGTGTATTTTGGGTCCCTTGAATTTTCCATGTAATTTTTAGGAAATTTTTGTTGGAAAATTTTGCATCTATATTCACAAGAGATATTGATCCATAGTTTACTTGCAATATCTTTATCTGGGTTTTGTCTCAGTGTAATACTGGTTTTATAGAGTGAGTTGGGAATTGTTTCCTCTTCTTCTGTTTTTTAGATGAGTTTGTAAAGAATTGTTGTTAAGCCTTCTTTAAGTGTTCAGTAAGAATTCACCTGTGAAGCTATCTGGGCTTGGGATATCTTGTAGGAAGTTTTTTTCATTACTAATTCAGTTTCTTGATTTGTTATAGGTCTATTCAGGTTTTCTATTTCATTTTGAAAAGTTTCAGTAACTTGTATCTTCCTAGGAATTTGTCCATTTTATCTAACTTATTTAATTTGTTGGCATATAATTTTTATAATATTTTATTATACTTCTTATGTCAATAGTGATGTCCCCTCTTTCATTCCCCATTTTAGTAATTTGAGTGTTCTTTTTTTCCTGTCTAAAAGTTTGTTAATGTTGTTGATCTTTTCAAACAACAAAATTTTGGTTTTATTAATTTTCTCTATTTTTTCTTCTCAATTTCATTAATCTTTTACTTCTGTCTACTTTAGGTTTAGTTTGCTCTTTTTTTCCAGTGTCTTTAAAATGAAGGTTAAGTTATTGATTTGAGACCTTTTTTTAAAATTTAATATAGGCATTTATGGCCATAAATATTCTTGTAAACACTGCTTTAGATACACTTCATAAGTTTTTGGGATATTGTGTCTTAATTTTTATTTATCTCAAAATACTTTTTAATTTCACTTGTAATATCTTTTTTGGCCTATTGGTTATTAAATGTGCAGTTTAATTTCCATATATTTATGAGTTTCCTCAATTTCTCTTTATTATAGATTCCTAATTTAATTTCATGTCAGTTGGAGAACATACTTGGAGTTATTTCAATCTCTTAAAATTTATTGAAGGTTGTTTTATTGCCTAGCATATAGTCTACACTAGAGAATGTTTCATGGACACTTGAGAATAATGTGTGTTCTGCTATTATTGGGCGGAGTGTTTTATAGATACCCGTTAGGTTGGATTGATTTATACTGTTGTTCAAGTCTTTTTTCTTGTTGATCTTCTGTCTTTTCTGTTCTACCCATTATTGAAAGTATGGAATTGAAGTCTTAAACTATTAATGTTGATGGATTTTCTCCTTCAGTTCTGTCAGTTTTTGCTTCAGGTATTTTGGGATTTTATTGTTAGGTAACATATATATATATATATATATATATATATATATATATATATATATATATGGTTATAGCTTTCAGATGGTTTGACCCTGTTATCAGTATAAAATGTTCTTATTTTATCTCTAGTAACATTTTTTTGTTGTAAGTGTATTTTGTGTGATAGCAATATAACTACCTTGAGTGGGATTGTGTGGGATCACTTGTTTTCAACCTAAATAACTACCTTTATATTTATTGTAAGCTTGGTCTGCTAGCAATTACTTTCTGTTTTGGGAATGTATTTTATGTTAATTTTTGAAGAAGTTTTGCATAGCATAACATTCTTAGTTTCTTGGTTCACAGTTTTTTCCCCCTTTTGACACTGCAAATGCCATTCCACTAATTTCTGGCCTTCACTGTTTCTGATGTGATGCCACATGTTAATTTTATGGTGCTTTTCTTGTTTTGTTGTTTTCTCTTGAGCTCTCAAGATTTTCTCTTCATCTTTAG